TATTAGTCTAAACTAATTTCAATTATATCTTTTGTTTTATTTAAATCATCCGTACTCACATCTCAGTAGCAATACATTCTCAAGTTTAAAATATAGTTCAAAAGATTTAGTAAACCGACATCCGCCTGCGGTAAGTGTATGGCAAATCCGTAGCAAAGGTCACTCGTAGCTCATAACTTAAATCCCCCATTCGTCCGACAAGAACAATAATCCGTACAATTTTAAGGAAAATGTTTATCGCAGGACCCACTCGGCTCATAAATTTTGCGCCGGCCCAAATAAAACAGAGGAAATAGATAAAACAGCTAAACGACTGTCAACGGACTTATATCGTACATTGGCGATACTTATGGGACTATGTTTTATTTTTGGATTGTCATTAAGTTTTTTTATTACTCTCTTAGTTTTTCTCTTTATTCGGTTATATTTTCTTTACATTTTATTAAAAAAATTTCACATTTAAAGTTATAAGATAAATAAAATTGTTGTAGAAACTTTATTATTGGGACATGAAACAGATATTGATTTTCTGCAAATGTTCTAATTTTAATACTGAACAATATAATTCAAACTGATTGTGCCTTCAAACATGAAGCGCTTGACAATAAGCCGCGTCATTCCAGAATGAATCCGTTTCCCTCTAGCTCGAGAACATACGCTCAGATAAGCGAAGCATCTTATCTCCCAACGCATTATTTCATACACAACTATCGGAAAGCCATTCCGACTGTGTCTGATTTTATTCTAGGCAATTTATTTTCAATAAAGAACTATAAAAAAGACTTATCTAAATGGCGCGGCCGCCACTGAGAGGGGAGCGCTCGTCATAAATGTCGATTCATATTTACGTTTTATTAAACTACTGAGAGGAGAATCAATGTCTTCAGATCATTCTATTGATTCATCATGCTTATAAAATGGGATTGTTTAAAAAACTGATGTACCAATCCAAAGTAGCATGTAATATAAAGACACATCTTAGCCTCAATTATTCAAATTAAGAGGGTTTAATTACGTGTCTTATATCTTTTGCAGTATTTTAAATATCAAGGAATTAATATCTACTGCACATAGAACCCATCGCTTCTGAACTAATCAAAGACCTGTTTATAACCGAGTCAATTGATTCTGTAAACTTTTATGGTTTCACGATAAAACAACAAAGTAACATTGAGGCAGACATAATCGGAAGGGGCATAAAAAACATCTCGCCTTTCATTATTGATAAAAAATCGAGTCGTTACACCTCGGGGGCATAAATAAAAGTCGTCCCGTATAAAGTACCTATCTAATTATCAGCACTAAAAACAGCAATTTGAATGTTTTAACTGCTATAATGCAACGCTCATCGATACATAATTCTGTATCGGCCGATCATCTATAATTTATCTCTGGAGACATCACTGACAAAGCAACAAGATAACTTATTACCATATCTCCGTTCCGAAACAGACAAATATTAAAAAAAAAAAATTGCAAAGCACATTAGAGGGATCGCAATTTAAATTTGTACAAGCATACCGACTCATTTACATGTTATTCGTAGCGCAAACCCTAGGGGGCCGTATCAGCCATTTATGAGCTGAAAGTATTAAAGAAAAGAACTGGATACGTATAAAAGATAGATATAATAATAAGAAAAAGAAGGCGCGTGCAAGAAAACGGCTCGCGGCGACCGAGCCCCGCGGAAAGCGGCATTGTTCCGTGACTTTTTAAAAACGGAACAAAATGAACGAGGGGAAGGAAATCGGATGAAAATATGAAAAGAATACACGTTATATACTCGTACGTAAGGTGAAATGGAACGCCGCAGCGGCGAGATCGGTCGCGGCGCGGCACGGCGTCCGCAAATATAATTTGCATAGCCAAGTAGTCCAACTTTTGTCTGCGGCGGATGTTCTCAACCATATTCGTTCGTTGCTTTTAACCGCACTTCCATTCTGTATCGGGCCGGACTTTTTATTGCATTTTTTCCCCTTTGAATGGATTCCTTCAATATTTCGGTGGTTCGTTTTTATTCATACGCTCGGTCATCGAATTGTTTCCCTTCATATCGCGCGCTTTGAGTTCTGTTATATTGCTGTCATCATTGCTTTGCCTTTTGACTACACAAGCGTGTACCGTTTGTTTTCCCTTCGTTCTATTGTAACATATCTACATGTTAAGTTGTAACTTTTAATTGTTGTAATAATTATCCATTGTATTAAAATAATAGTTTATTCTAAATTGTGGGAAATCACATATACCATATGTTGACGATGAGTTTTATAAGACTATTGTTATTACTAAAGTTTGAAGGATTAACAGAAACATGCAAGCGAGAGTTCCGATTTCAAAGTACACTTCGAATAAGAAATATGATTACAACTCATTTCTTAGGAAAAAAAATGACGTGCCTAATTAAACACAAGCCGCAAAGGAACAATAAAACGATTAACATAATTCAAAGAGACAATCAAGTGCTTTGAAATTAGAAGTATTGCCGGACACAAAGGGTTCGAGTCTTTGTCGAAGCAGCGCCTCCCTTTGATGAAATAAAATCGATGGATGAAATTATTACGATTCATCTTCAACTGGGAGCATGACTGTGGAAGCATTACTCCGGATTACAGAACCCAAGAGCACAAAGCCGCGCCGACCGGCCTCTACAAATATTGACTCGGAGAAACAATAGAGAACGCCGCGTTACTCCCCAACTATTATATGAGAACACCTGATAAGACATTGATTGCCAATGTTAGAGTTTTTATTGACTCTATTCGAATGTCCATTGTTTAAGAAATAAAAAATTCTTCACAAAATGATCTCCACCTTATTTAATCAAAATAACACTTATTTATTTTGGAACTTAGTAACATTTACCATTTTGAAATCTAAAATAAACCGACTCTCGATTCTTTCATAATAAATAAATAACTATTTTAGAGCCATAATTGTATTAGAAGCTGTTACTTCGTTCCTCTGAGGATTTCAAGTCTATGGTATGTGAATTTAAACAAAGACCTTGCCCATCCATTCAACCATCCTGATTCTTTTTAAATACATTAAGATTTTAGTTCAATGAGCTCCAGTCCAGGCAGGTTCCGGTTAATTGATAACCAGAAAAGCGTTAATACATATAAAGAGATGAAAGGTCCAAAAATAAGCTTCGATGGAGTGAAAAGGTGATTTTCAGAGGTGTTGGACTGATTCGATGTTCGGACTCGCCTCGGCTCGGCCCGATGAATTTTCCACCGGATGAACTTTCAACCAACGCCGATGTTTTAACGACTGATTACCTGAAAATGACCCTTTTCATCCTAATTAATAAACACCTAATTTCTATGTCATTTACTAATAATACATTTTAGGTATTTCGATCGCGAGACAAAGATCATAACAGTGGACTAAGTGTAAAAAAACCAAACTTATTTCCATTAATATAATATAAATCTATAGTAAAAGAAATAATTGCATACTTATCTTATTCTAATATAACGTGTGCCAGTATTTTATGCTAAGAATTAATGGATTAATAAATATGTCTGTCTTAATATTGCTCTGAATTGACATTCTCGGAAATCGGCTCTACATTTACGGTATTTAGAAGATTTCAACTTAATTACGTGATATGAAAAAGCAATTTCTGTCTAGACATAGTTAGAATTTCAAATAAAAAGGCTATTTATGGTTGTTCACGTTATTACTGGCGGCAGTCCGAGGCTGCGATGACAAATGATGCGTGGGAGTCGCGCCCTACACCCTGCACCTCGCTCCCCGCTCCCGCCCCTCTATACCTCGGCCGCGATTCTCATTAGCGCCCACATTAATTAACTAGCAATATTTTAATGAGAATATTTTAATTTGTCTTATTATTTACAAGTTAACTCAATAGCGAATCTAGTAATCTGATAACATTGAAGACCCAGTGAAAAGGGTATTAAAATCCTATGTGAAATATTGTATTATAACATATTCAAATTATAATACGAATTACAAGCTTTAGCTTTAATCTAATTTGTTATCGGTTATAAAACCTTAAAGATCTTACGTAGCAGATAAAAGGCTGTATCGATAGCTCGGCAGCTCCGCGCCGCCCCTATACCGGAGGCAGGGCGACTCTATCGATACTTGCACACCGACTCAATCATTCGTCAATCCAACTCTCAAACGATAAAGATGGAAATATCACCGACGAATAAGTGCGAGAGAGTCGATATAATCTGGCGATCATCAACACAATATTACCAAAAGACGGCAAATGTGAATCAAAGCCATTACAAGTGTATATCAGATACAGAAATGGCAGAGTTATCGTAAGTGCGAGTGAGACGTTTGCTCTCGAGCTTTCTCGCGAGTGTAGAGTATAAACATTCATAAATTGCTTGCAGGAACATGGCGCACGAATTATGAGCGAAACCATTTATTTAGTCAGAGTTTTGTTTTGCTGTGCGTGCCGGTATTCGCAGTAATTGTTGTTTCGATACGCCACGAGTCAGCAAGCCTGAGCTGAACTCTACCGCTCCTATTAATATTTATGATATATTGTATACTGAAATACATGTAGTTGTATAAATCTGAAAGATACATTGAGTAATTGTAGATAGAATCGAGCTAACATCTTAACACGATCTTGAAAGATAGAGTAACAAAGTAATCTTACTATCTTACTAATATAATTAATACGAATGTTTAGATGTATGTTTGTTTGAAGGTATCTCCGGAAAGGGACAATAGTCTGGATTTTTACATACGCTACTAATTATGTCGATTTTTTTAATTCCGCACAAATGAAGTCACGGGCGACAGTTAGTACTAGTAATAAATAAACAAGATCCTTTACATTTATGCAACAGTTATTTACATAAAAGATTATACGTATTAGATTAGTAGTATTATTGTTTCAACTATTGACCTTCTTTCATATCGCTTTATGTTGATTATTACCATGTTTAAATAACTAAAAACCTTCGTAATAAAATAACTTAAAACCATATGAATAAAAATATTTATTTTTACAGTAATGTATCAGAAGCGGCTAAAGAAGGAGCGGAAACAGCGGCAGCAGATCCAAGAGCAACTCGAGAATGAACTGAAGAGACGACAGAAGATAGAAGAGGCGCTCAAGCAGTCCGGTGCACCCCAGGAGATACTCAGAATTGTTACAGGTAAGTGACACGAATAAACACGAATAATATAATTGCTAAAGCACAATATTTTGTGAGTTAAAGTTTACCTATTAGCAGTTTACTTACTATCAAAAAGTGTAAATTTTATTGATTTTTTTCATAGGCTATAATTTAACATATATCCGGTGTTCAGTCATCAAATAATCGATGTAATCACTATCAGACTTCAACAAGTATCAACAAAGTGCTCACTATTGCCGCTGACATGTTAACTTACCGACTGTCAAACTATCTCTGTATCGGCTAAAACTCCGGTAACTTCCTTCCGAAAGGTCTTATGTCGCAATGTTTCTATCAATGTAATATAGACTGTAAGATGTAGTTGAGTTAGTTTCTTTCGTCTATCCACGTAATTGACATGTGTTTCAAGGGAATCGCATCGTAGGTGAAGTGCGTGACGTAAGAAGGGCGGTAAACGCTAGTGAAGGCTTGTACTAATCTCCGTGTCAGGAAATCGTTCCGCAGGCCATTTGAAGCGAGGCGAGGGTTCGACTGCTCGGCCTCTGAGTTAGCACGCATTCGAGCACAATATCTTACGTAATCATTGTCTACGTCGCTCCTGGAAACAAATAAACTTACTTGTATTGTTACTACATTTATTGTTGGTTTCTGAGACGAAAATCCCTCTAATTAACCAAAGATGCAAATAAGAACAAAACAGAGATAATAATATGACTATACAGAGATTTTGGTCTCAGGAACTAGCGATTTAACATTTAAACTATTTATATATTCTAAACCAAAGGAATTTAAAATTCATACTAGCCTGACATATTTCTACTATCATCACGGTCACTGGAAAAAGTATACAAAATCAACAGAATGTTATTAGAATGACTGAGTTCTAACATATATTCTTTTCCACAGAGAACATGAGTCCGTCAGCTCACGAGGCACGTTCAGAGCGCGAGAACGGATCGGAGAGCAAGCCGCCGAGCGCGGAGCCCCCGGCCGCCTCGCCGCCGTACTCGCGCGAGCCGACTCGCACGCCGGACAAGCCGCAATGGTCCTACCCACCACCGCCCGTCGATATGCTGCCTGGCGGAGCTGCCTTTTGGCAGAACTACTCCGGTAAGACACACTGCACCACATAAAGATTCCTCCAACTCCAATAAACATTGTGGATATGATCTCTTGTTATCTCTACATATTTAACTATATTTGTAAGTCTTTCGTTCTTCATTGGTCACAATCTGAAAACTTTAAAAGCGGTTTCCCACTACAGCAGAACTATTTCAGTTTCAAAATAAATTTTAATCATAAATCCATTTATTGAAAGCACAACATCAAATAAAATTGCAATAATAAAGAATGTATCAGACCCTCCGTTAGAAAAAATAAGGACAAAATAGACATGTGAAATTTATACTCGTCATATTACATACCATATCGGATCGGGAATGCCAAGTATTTAAAAGCACAAAATGAACGATACGAGCATTCTCCGGTTTTGTTGTTATTTTATTTTAGGGTGGGGGAGAGATTTTAAATCAAATTTCAGTATTGATATTAAAGATCAATATTATCTTTAAAAAAAAATTATTTTTATTTTTTACATTTTAGACTGCTCAAATATTAATGAGAAGCCTGTAGTATTAAAATTATTTAAAGCAACAGTAAAAAATACCTGCCATGAGGTTGTCTGTGAGCTCCGAGCGACTGTATAAAAAAGATTCATCTCAGCCACGTGTTCGGTATCGGACGTAGTTTTTTCATTCATATCCGCTTTGTGGAAAGCCTAGAAATTTCATTAAAAATGCACCGGCCTCGGAGTTTGAAATACTATTGTGTACCGGCTAACCCGCATACGCCCGGTTTGATGGATGCGCCACATTGCATGCCTCTTTTTACAGACGTTTTATTTTTAAAATCCAAAAAAAATCTAATCTTAACATTCGAACATTTTATTTTATAACTGAAGAATTTTCTTAGAGCGTATCTTTTCTTCTCAAATCCTAAAAGCATTATTAGCTTATGAGTAATTATGGCCAGAAATATAACAATAAAAGCCACAGGTACGTCAGCATTGATAGCCCTCAACGTTTCCTGCATTTAACTGACGAGTGGCTTTCACCGGCGGAGCACTTCGCAAACAGAAATTGCAACTAATTTAAGTGTTACCCGGCCCCAAGTGTCTACCACACGCGAGCACGCCACTACCCTATTGCGAACACTACAAATCAATGCAATCAAATATATTACAATAGAACTTCGAAGCCTTTTATTTTATAATTATTTAATTGAATTTGGTTATTATTAAGAAATACGAGCTGTGAGTCTCTTCTAATGTGATAATCCAAAAACTTCCTACAAAATATAATAAGAACTATTATTGATAAACGATGACCTTTTAAAGATCTCTATCTGACACACTAAACGTAGGTTTCTGATATCAAAATCACAGTTTAAATCATATTGTTATCTCAGTTTTGTCAATGATAATGACAGACATGACGATATAGTTTAGTGTCAGAAACCTACGGTAAATGCTTGATATAAATCATTAATCAAGTGTTAAGTTAGTTCAGATGTTGCACAAGACATTACAATCTCCAGTTACTTGTATTTTTACTATTTTAGATTTATTCAAATATAAGTATACAGTTAGTAGAAATTAAAAAAAAAGTAATCAAAGAAGATAAATAGCTTGTAATAACACAAAAGCAAAATGCGTACAGATACCAGTGTTATTGTTTGATTTTTTACAATACAGGTAAATGTAGAGCAACGTAAAAATTAAATAAAAAATAATCAATAAAAATAATCAATAAATTCTAGCACAATGCATATTGTTGACAACCGCTTAAAAAGAACTAAGACTTTAAATGATGGGTCGATGGCCGCAGCTTATTTTATTTTTTCATAAAATTAAGTTCAAAAAAAAGAATAAATACCTCGCAGTTATAAGTAAAAATTGAAGTAAAATTCTTTGCATCTTGATTAGTTTTTCCAAATTTATCGTATTGAACATCATAACTAATGATAGATTTGAAATAATAATGATTAATTAAAATAATAAAAACAAAATAAATGTTATTTGAAAAAATGAACACATATTTTACCCACAGTAGCGGGCGGATGTCAAAATGTATTCCGGCCCCGCGGTTGAAACGAATAAACCAACCGATGTTAAGTAATATAAAGTTGAAAAATTAATAAAGAGGAAACTTCGCCCGGCCACTTTTTAGGTGCGCTTGTAAAATGAATGGAAATAAAAATTGTACCGCACAGGTGCGCGAAGCCTTTGACGATATTAACTTTTTGTTGGAACAGAAGACATAGCTGCGGCGCGTACCGAGAGAGTAATCGTAGCCGACCCACATTCCTCGCGTGCTTACACATCCATTGCTCACGTACTATCGACACCTAAAATGTAATTAAAGAAACGCAAGCAATAACTTTGTTTTTTGATACGCAGCGTCGCGCACAAGGATGAGTTTTGTGTATCGATACAAAAACTTGTTTAATGTTGTTTTGACTAAAAGAGTAAAGCATTTTAAATGAACCTTATCGTCGTCACGAAGAAATTGAATCTTTAAAAAAAATCTGAAGAGATATTCTGTAATAGGAAATCAATTCAATCAATGTGATCGGACACGGTCAGCGGCAGCGGCCGGTCCTCAGCCTGCGTCCGTATTTACAACTATTTGTGTGATCGTAGGCATCCGCTCCTCATCAACGATAACGCCACCTACTTAACGACCCCCTTTGTTCTCAACCATCTCAAATATCCGTTTAAAGAATTTTTCGCCAGAATTTTTTTCCGGCCGTTATTAATTGGAAGCTGAAAATTAACAGAGGTGTCCGTTGCTTAATACTTTTTAAAAAAATAATGAGACCGCCTCCTCAATTATACCGCCTAAGGTGTTGTGTTTCAAAATGTTATAAATTTACGAACAACAAACAATTCGTATCGGATCAATGACATTATAAATGTGTAAAATAAAAAGTGCTGCGATCGGATCGCGCTTGCTTTTTGTGTGGACGAAGAGAAACAATTTGTCTCCGGAGGCGCATCAATAACGAAAGTGTAATTTCTTGCTCGGGACCTCTATTTAATTATAAAATCGATTCGTTTCTCCAGAAACTAATCGACAGTATGATCTGCTGAATGCCTTCACAAGTTTTGTTTATGCGGGGCATTGTAACTTGGAGAATGTCCGGACAATCGCTTATAGATATATTTCATTTTGTTTATCAGATTACTTAAAATTAAATATTACTTACTTTATTTACAAAAAACGATAACAATCAAATTATTTATAGTTCGCAAAAAATTCAAAATATATCGCTTAATTATTTTAAAATACGGAATTCTTTAGATTGGATATAAAAAAGAGAATTATTTAAACTGTCAAACAGTAAATAAGTGTTACGTAATTGATAATATTTTCACTCGCAAAGAAAGGAGGAGACATGAAAGGCTAACTTTTTATTTAAGCAAAGCGCTCAACCGTTACAGTTATTTCAAAGAACAAATAGATTATAGCTCTCAAAGGAACCGGCAATTCTGTTTTAGGAGCGGCAAATGCAAAAATATTACGTATTCAAACAAACCTAATGGGACATTTAGGGGTGGCAGCGAAGTGAAACGGCAAAGGCCGAAGCTTTTAAGTGTATAATATTTAATTGTGACGCCCTAGGCGTATAATCTCGCCCGGGATAATAGGTTTCTGTTTCGGCACAACCCTCGACGGCGACACTTGCGAGTGTGATGCCCCGGAGCCAGTCTCCGCCGAAACAAATCGTATTATAATTGAGTTTTTTTAACTGACAAATGTTTTTAAGACTAATCGTAATCCTCTCTTCCCTTTATTTGTTGACTTATAATCATTTCAAGAACTGCAGTAAAATACGACTTAAACTTTTTTTATAAAAGATATTTTTTTAGATTATAAGTTGGTTTGCATGTTGCATTCATCTTTATAATAATACAATCTTTAATCAATCTCGGCAAATACGTACTCAAAACCAATTTTCAGTATAAATTGTCTACTACTATTTAAAATAAAAAATAAACTTCACGAAATTATAATCTACAATAACACTTACACCGTAAATTACAAAAGGAATATCACGAGGACAAAATTGAATTCCTCGTTGAGAAAATGTTCCATAAAAGTAAGCAAAAATCGCGATTCCGATTTCTTTTATATCTCGTAAATTGCAAGAGGCGGCAAGCGTTGCATGAAATTGAATAAGCATATTTCGTAAAACGAAGACGTTTTCGGAGACAATTGCCTTACCTCATCTACTCCTGCCTCTTCACGAACTTTGTCAATTTTCGCAAAATGCTATTAGAAATTCTCCTCCACGCGTACACTTATTGCGTCTGGAATTGATGTTACATTTAAGTGTTTATTTATCAAGGAATCATTTTATTTTTGAGTTTGATGGAATAGCATATAATTTTCTACAGATATATATATTTGTAAGTAGTACGGTCGCGTAACCACAATTAGGTTTTCAGGGCACCATAAGATAATATATTATGTTTCTGGACTAAATTTTTAAGTTTAGGTTATTTTAGGCTTAAGCGTCAAAAATTACCGTAAGGATATTGTAAAAGCTGTTCTGACTAATGGTTTTTATATAAAAACAAATCATTTATTGAAAAAATCTAAAGTCAGTAGTTAGTTTTAAAAATAAAATAAAAAAAAATGTTAAAATTCGAACAATTTCAATGGCAGACTTTGTCTGTAAAATCTAATAAGCGCTAACATTGTTAAGCGTACGTTACCAAAGGGAACGAATATTACGAAGTGTCATACGGATGCAAAGTTCGTTTGATGTTAGCTTTTGCCAAAATACTAATGAAATTTTCCGAGACCTCGCATTCGTACATTAGCGTCGCTTATTTGCGATAGCTCAGTATTAAGATTATTTAAGCTAGAAAAGTAAAAGCTAACTAAATTAGAAGTTACTTATTTATTAATTTTTATGTATATATCACAGAGTCGTATAAATAATATAAGATAAATTATTAAAAAAATATTTTTAAATTAAATTCGATAAAATATTTTCAAATGAAATTCAGTTACTGTTGATGAAACATTTCACGCCATTCTTTAGACCTTGCCTAACGTTTTCGTGTTGCAGATAAAGATAAAGCAATTAATAAAATAATTTGTTTTTTTAAACAGAATCTTTGGCGCAAGAGCTGGAGATGGAGCGCAAGTCGCGGCAGCAGGCCATGGAGCGCGACGTGAAGAGCCCACTATCAGAGCGCGCCAGTTACTACAAGAATTCAGTGCTGTTTAGCTCAGCCACTTAGCTGACGGGCCACGGGGCCGACCTCCCCGACAAACACAGCGACGACGACAAGTGTCCTGACGACACCAGGAAACCCATCATCAGTGTCAAGCCAGAGTTTAGAGAAAAATAAAATATTAAATAGTGCAAACGCTGTAGACGATTCTTCGAAGTCTGGAGAAATCTTTCAACAGCCGTCGGCTCAGATTTATCTTCGGAACGTTCGTGTACATTAAAGTTTTCATCATTTAGTTTAGCTCGTAAAATTCTATGTATCAGATCTCGATAAAGTTGTACTTTTAACTGAGATTAATTGTAAATACTGTTATGACGTACTAAGCACGTAGATTGTGTTGATGCGAAGTCTAAGGAAATTTTTTCTTCCATAGCAAAATTTGTAAATATTTTCTTTATATTTTCTAGGATAAGTAACCGTTTAATCGACGATTCGAGTTATTTATTCGTCAACATTTATTCATTTATGAATTGTACCTTTAAAATTATTGTTAAATGCCATATTTATGTATAAGTATCCATCATTATTTACATTTTCTATGTTAAGAGGCGACAATTTTTACGTTTCTATTTGTACTTTTTACGTATGATATATAGATTTGGAAATAATAAATCGATTATCTAAATAAAACAACTGCTGGAATTGATCTAAGACTGGTTTTACGATACGATCAATCAACTTTTATTCGCTAGTCCAATCGAAGCACTGAATTCCGAATGTTTTTCTATATTTATTTCTTTGACTACGACACAAGAGCTTTAGAACAATGTCGTCATTACGTATGTTAACATAATCGTGTACATTTGGATCACTTAGCTTAGTTTTTAAAAAACGTTAAAATTTAAAGTTCAGTTGAAGGATGTGATCAACAATATTGTGTAATTTATTCAACTTTAGTGCAATGATTAGATTTAACTAAAACTAGTGATACATTAAAAGCATAAAAGTACGATAGTTTAAGCGATTCGAATCGATTAATTTTTACAAAATATTATTGACTGAATACTGAGAAGACAGTTGCGAGGCTTTGCAGTGCAGGGCCTCAGCCGAGTTGTTGCTGGGGCCCTGTGCGCCGGCGTCTGCATCTCATATCCATGATCCAGTGTCTGCAGCTCTGGGTAGTTGTAACAATAAGTGCAGTAGTTTTTAAATATATAAATGATAGCGTTATTTATATCGATGCTTAGTTTACAAGAGGACTTTAATACGTCTTTAATAGAGTAAGATTTAGACATTGTATAGAACGTAAAATTGGCGCTTGGCTATCAAAAAATACTTTTTAAGAATACACACATATCTGTTACGCCTGAGCGAGGTCTTTTAAGCTTTAGTAAAAAAAAATATTTGAAAATATCAAAATTAAAAAACTGTAATAGTCAAGCGCCGATCTGAACGATCGCTTTATACAATTAATTTCATACATATTATCTATAATGGGTAATAAGAAGTAATAAGTAAAAGTTAGTTGTTACTATAAATGTTTAGCTGAAAATGTGTGGTTGTATAAAGGGAATGAATGTGACCGTTAAAATTTGATTTCAATTCTATATTGAGATAAGGTTGAAAATGTAATGCCCACTGCCGGTGGTTCACTAAGTACCCGGCAGAGGGCAAACGCGACGACTTAACGCTATTCCTTTATCAATTAGATGTCGAGGCTTCAGTATTCACTTTAAATTGTTTTATAGTATGCAATTCATAAGGCGAGCGTTTATTATTTATTATTTCTATGGTAATTATTATTAATTTACTTAAAATTGTGTGTGTGCCTTGTATCGTAGAAGAAAATATCGAAATTAAAAAGAAAAATTATCATTCCGTTGTTTGTTTTTACCCTAATCCTAGATTTACAACCTTAGTGGTCACCAAATGCCTACGACAACCATCAAGAAAAACAATAAAACAATGATTTAAAAAAAACAAGATCTTGATATACAAATATTATGCTGCAAATCAAAAAAAGTATATTAAGTGACGACTCAATAAATGTATCTGCAGTATTAACTTAAAAAAATTGTGATTCAGTATGCTTTGACTGAATAGCACAGCTGAAGACCCGTTCTTGATGTCTGATGATAGACTGGTAACGAAAAGAAATTATAATTCCTTCAAACACTATCTAAAGTCTCTAAACAGGGTCTCTAACAGTTCAGCCACATTAAAACTACGACTTTATCATGAACCAGAAGTTATCTGTTAAACTAAAACCACAGTCACGAATAAGTAAACTAAAAATGAAATAAAATGAATTTGTTATTAACAATACCCTAAATAAATCCAGCGATGCCTATAATTAATAAGAATCCAAATAGTTATCAGAAAATTAACATAAGCGTTAACAGAATGTCACTGCTTAATACAATAACAGTGGTATAAATATTAGTTAGTAATAACCAGTTGTATATTGTACATCTGCCATACACTAGACACTGTTAGAAGGGCAGGTGTACTAACAGCCTTTCAACACAAGTCAGATAATAGTCGTTTCAACGCCTCGGGTATTGATAATTTTTAAAATAACTAGATGATGCCTTCGACTAAAAAAAATATAATTAGTAGCCTGTGTATTCTTCCAGACTATGTTTTACATCTATGACATGTTTCATCGAGATCCGTTAAGTCGTTTTTGAGATACCTTCTAACAAATATCCATCCATCTAAACATTTGCATTTATAATGTTAGTAAGAAGAAAGATTAACAAGTTCAATAACAACTTTAACAATAAAGAATTACACAAAATCTCCCATATTAAGAAAAGATCAGAAAAATAACATATCATTTTGTGTCAAATAAATGAAATAAAATATTTTCTTTTCGCACTTAATTTGATTATTGTAAAGAACTTAGACCTTCAGGAATTAATATCATTTTTAAACGTAAGGTTAAAACTAATATAACTACAGAGTAATAAAGTAGAAAAGTCATAAGAAGTTGGAGGTTTTATTAGAATTCTCTTGTGCTTCAATGCCGTTTTAAATCCTGTTAAATCGGAAAACTTCATATTTATTGCTAATAGATTTTCGGCCGATGAGCACCGGGTTATTTGGGATGCAATTTTATTTTGTCCATATGGATGATTTTTATATTTGGCCTGGGGCGGGCCGGACGCAGCCATGCGTCTCCCCCCCCCCCTCTCTGGTTTCGGACATCGAGAATCCACGGGCCCTCAATCAGAATGTTTTTTTGAAATCACCTTTTTTTTGCTTCATTTACCCCAAACGTCGAACAAAATTTAATTCAAAATCATTTCATATTAATAAAAAACTGGTATGGTATGGTAGCTTTCAGTGATAAATTAAAGTTAATTACTCGTGCGATGTATAGCTGAATGGCAATAAATATAAATGGGTTTGGTATATAAATAAATAAAAATTAAACATTTGTTGAAAAAATTCATCAGATGTTTGATTGACTTACAAAGAATGAGAGGTAAGAGGATTGTTTTGGTACGCTTTACTTTTTAAAATTCATAGGAAGAAATTAATATTAAAACGAGGAAATATTTGTATTAAAGGAAGATAATTCGTGCATCATTAGAATGCTATATTATCACTGAAATAATATGACAGAAAAAATATCAGACGTGACTACGTTACCAATGGTTTGAAATTCTGACTGGAAGTGGAATAAAGCCTTAGATGAAAAAAATAAAATATATCTAACTTCAATTAAGTAATATACTAATAATAAGACACCACTGATCTATGAGAAGGTAGCCAAGGGCACGATCTGTAACGTTGGCACTCGCAGTGCGCGGCTGTCGTATCGGCGTTAATATTGCGGGCATAAATATTGTCGTATGCGACAGCGTCTTCCCGCCTCTAGTCTCTATTGAAGAATGGCTCCCTTATACAGGCTGTTGGAAAAAACCTGAAAAATATTTAAAGATAAATTAATACAATTTACAAATACATTATCGTTAACGTTGTAAATTAGCTATAAATATTAAGTATATAAGTTTAGGATAAAATATGTTTCACAAAAATTAATAGTAAAAAGTCAATAGACTATTCACTTTTTCAGCTGCAAAGAATTCAACTGTGGCTAAGAAAATCAATGAGATATATTTTATTTCTTTTTATAATAAATCGCGACGAAACGAATGGGACGTTCACCTGATTTTAAACTAACCATGACAGTGCTGTGGCTATCAGTATCTAGGATTGAGAATTACTTAAATTTGCACAAAATGAATAATTTTTATTATTTTTTATATATTCTTACGAAATGTAAGAACTTCTTTTGATAACTAACTGTCGACCGCGACTGCGTCTGCGTGTAAGATAATATCACAAAACCCACAATGTGTAATATTATCTGTACACAATCTATACTAATAATGTGTATTATAGTAAGTTGTTGTTTACAATAGGTTCCGAAATAATAAAATGATTTGAAAAATTCTTTCACTGTATAGCGCAAGTCGCGGTCAAGTTCTAGATAGTCATAAAAATTGCGTGTTAATGAAAACGTATCTCCTTAAAACATACACTTTGACTTTAGCGTCAATTAAAATATCAAATCTATCAATTAAGGCAACAAAAATTGTAACATCCTGTGTAAACATAAGGCACGTGTACACGCACCAGGTAGGCGCGTAATTTTCACCGAACATCGTCTCGCGGATTAGTTTTTCCTTAAGATAATTAAATAACTTGGAGCTGTGTTGCGTGATGTATGGCCGTGTTTATTGTCTTGTATCGCGGCCTGTTCGTTGACAGGCCTAAAGGGGGCTCCATTTTATTGCCTCTATACTTCGTATGTTCCTTATTTAATGGATGATTATTATGCTAACGATATTGATATGAGAAACCTGTAGAGCTTTTTAATTTTACCTGTTTCTACTTTGTTTATGTTGATAAACACGAGCTAGAGAAGATACATTGGTTAGCGAACTGATAGCTATATGAACGGAAGAAATTCAGAATAATAATTACACGCAAGATTAGTTAGTATTGTAAGGCGTAAACTGACTATCAAAATTACAAGAATACACTGGAATTAACAAGAAAAAAATGAATAAACTTGAAGCATTTGACCTAAAATTTGACTAAAACTAGTATTGTTAAAAAATGAAATGGTTGGTGTGATTTATAAATTATCTATTATTGGAAATGTAAAGTGATTTTATATACAAGTACTTAAAGCTTTGACCTTGTTTTAAATAAAGGGTTGCAACATTGTGTTATTTCGTCCTTCTAATCTTTATTCATTTCAATTAGAAGACGCAGGCGAAAGGCGATTTCCTAACAATCTTTCAGACGGCACTCAGTTACATAAACATTCTTACCCTTTTTCATCAAAGCGGGCTATTGTAGTTATTTGCATTAGAATCGCGTTCAAAAGTAAGACACTTTAAAATTGAACATCGCCGTTGATTGATTGCCAAAGCTTAGATTAATATCATTTTCGTTATTCAAATTATGCATAAGAAAATTGCTTTTCTTATGCACACTTTCGTTACTAAACAAGCATGTAAAAAATGTATTGGGTTAGAGTGTGCCATAATACTTATGTGTCATCTCCTCTCTTAAATTTTATAACAATTTGTTATAAACTCAAAACTTAATTAATATCTACTTTAATCTAAAGAAACAAAGAATTAAAAAAAATAATAGACTGCACAACATATTGTAGAACCTCTAGAAAAATTTCCACTTGTCCTTTCTTTAACATGGTTAGTACTTCCTTTTCATATTCATTAATTTATAAAAAGGTTTCGTACTTCATTGAATACAAATACGGAGTTGCTATAATCAAACTAAATCAATATACGAAGTAGAAAAATATTTACAAAATTTAACAAAATGAGTCTTATATAAATAATTAAAAGAACTAGCTAATGCAAGAATAATGGAAAAGAAAAAGAGGCGAGAACATTATGAGAATAATAGTTAGACTTTCCTATCGAAACGTAGAAGCTTTTGCGTCTAAATTCTACGAGGATTTAGATCTCGTAGTCATTCATGTAACGGCTATAGCTACCACTAGCATCGCTTAAAAGTTTATGATGTGACTACGTCACTTGGTTAAGATTTCTGCTTATGCCTAAAAAGCTAGGAGAAGCTACGATATTCTAGTAATAAGTTAACCTTTTATTTAAAAAAATACAATTAATTGAGTAATAGAACCAGCAGCAGATGCTCTGTAAGTGCCAAGTTCCAGTGGGATTTATTCGTGAAAGCTCTGTCGCGCAGCGTGGCGCTCACGGGCAGAGTTTGATTATGGAATAAACTGAAATTAAACAACATAACTGTAGTGTTCGATAAAATGGCGGACGCGAGGCGAAGGCGGCACAGAGACACAATAATAAATTGTAATTACAATTTAAAATGAGCAGGCGTCGCCGGGGGTGTGGCCCCCACACGCCACGCCACCTTCGTCTTCGTGTGTGCACTTTTTACACTCGACCTGCGAGCAATTATTGCACATGTGTGTGAGTGCATATTTATAAACTAAGATGCAAAGAAAAGTCATTAATCGAACATCAACGACGCATTCGTCATTAATTACAATCAAAGCTAGTCGCAGTCAGCGCGCGACAAACGGCCGTGTGTGGCCGCAGTCGCGATCGCTAGACGAGAGGTGGCTGAGCCGAGATCGCCTCGAGCACCACTCTACTGTATGAAGCCAATCTGCAACCGACCTAAGAAAGTGTGCCTGCGAAGTTATAATATTATTATAAAAATCTATCTACATACTAACTCTCACGTATGCACTCGCTGCAAATCAAAAAGGGCAGATAGATTTTTTTAGCTCCAAAAATGATTTGATTCG